TCTTTATACATATAGAAATGTAGCTAAATGATGTGTTACAGAATATTGCCTTCCATGAGCTCAATTGTGATCGGTTGAAGCTCAAACAATAGCAGAGTTTGGAATATTTCGCTCAAAAACCATTCTAGGCACTTTTTCCATTTTTACAGTTGTCTTATTGTCTCCTCTGAACGCCTTCCCCTACAATGTTTCCGACGTATGGCACTGGTCCATAGGTAGCATCAAAATATCATGTTTAGAGGGTAGGAACAGATGTGGTACTGTGTGATTAACTGAAGCTGCATGTCGATCCTTGTGAAGCACGGGGTTGAGGGGCTGAGAACGTTCCCGTGGGTAGGTCTCAGTGCTTCGAGAGCTTCTAGTTGCTTAGTATTGGTGAATGAGTAACGTATAGTTTTTGACCAGTGATCGATGGGACAGGAACTGAGGCTTGGTTATTCCTTCATTCAAGTCTCATCGGCTACAGCTCTTGGTGAGAATAGTGTGCAAAGCAGAGGTAAAGATCGGAATAGGGTTCTAAACTAGGCTAATTACTCTACTCGCAACTGAGGCATGACGCTAGCTTTTCCTTCATGCTTGCAATCGTACTTATGCGGTTTTTATACCCTTGCCATGAACACCGTAGTTGAGCATCCCTATTTATGGTAGGAGCTATGTTCACAGTTAGTAAGCGGTTCGTCTACACATATGCGTGCCCAAACAGTCCTCACAGTCTGTTTACTTTTCTCACGTGTGTGTAAACTTGTGTTAGAGTGACAGTGATTACTTGGTTGCCACTATTAGGAAATAGGCTTTTACTCAGATTGTCATTTTTTTGGAGTTCTATCTCTTTCTATGTTTCGCAGAAGAAGCCTTTTTATTCTTTGGTTGCTCTTCCCCGTTTGTACGAGACCTACTTCCGTTTTTAGATATTGTTATCCATGGTGTTTAGAAGTTAGAAAGGTTCCGCTTTCTTGAAAATGCTTCCGCTTATCGTGAATAGCTCGAACATTCATTTAACAACATGAATATCCTTCGAAAAAGTGGTTACTGCCCGAGTATCACCTTTAATGTTATCAATGTTCTTGTTGTCCTGGCGCTATCTGCTTCTACTTTGCTCGATGACGAATTATTGATTGATTGACTGATTGTTTTGGTGAATTTCGTTGAGAATTCGTCGTTTTTCGTGCATCTACTGATACTGGTAATTGGCTCGATCATTACTTCGATTGGCGTTCGTTCGTTGACGTGCTGCTGTCACCATTTCCCTCATTAATTTATGGCTTTCTATTTTGCAGACCTTGTATGTCAGAGGGGCCTAGCCAACGGGTGAGAAGTCGACCTCGCGGTCGTGGCGAGAGCTTCTCAATATCGAGAGGCGACTCGTCACCATTCGGAGCGCATCGACTTTTACGAAAATCAACTACGTCATCGTTGACAAACGAGTGTGTAACGAATGTTGAACCAGTTCTTCTAACTCAACGATGGACGGTATGTTTCTCTCTGTGCTACTTTTGTATTGTCTTTGCATGCGTTTGCAATAAAGGTTT